ATCCAAATATTGAAAACGGAATCAATCGATCTCGCGCAGAATCCTTGACAGTGATTGAAATGTTTTGAACAGGATGAGTAATCGGACACGTTTTTTGGAGTGATACCAAGCATGTAACATTAATAATATGTTATGAAGAAAAAAAAAGACATGAAATATGAAACAATTTACTTTGTGCACATTTCAGGACTCGCAGCATATGGATGCAATAGAGGAGATCACGAAGCACCCGTAAATGGAATTATTCAATCAAGCGTTTCGTGCATTTCAAAATTTAATTCGCAATTTCCACTAACAACTTTTTGTTTTTCCCTCCCCGTCAATTTGAAAACCGAATGCAATTATCGAAGAGCAAATAGCCTTGACGCGCAACACTTAAAATTGTTGTTTTATTATCGCAGTTTTATGATATAAATGAATAACAAAAATATTATTTGTTTTTTATCTATTTTTTGATCAATAAAAACTATTAATGCATCAAACTATTCGTATTTTTTGTTTATTGTAAAGCTTTGGTCAGACTAATTATAAAGAATACAACAATACCTCGCATAGTGCGGCTTCAATTGGTATAGTCCTGTTGAAAATTTTCAAAGCAAACTAAATTTAAATGAGAAAAATAAAAATAAACCCAAAAAATTGTCGTTTTTTTTGGTTTTAAATTCCTCGATTACTCGGACTGTGAGTGGTATTAGTGATTAAAATACATAATTCTAAATGTTATTTAGATATAGGTATCCATCGACTTACGAACTCCCGGACTTATGAACAAAATTCTAAAAGTTTTTACTTGTTACAAGGAGATATATAGTGATACAAAATTAACTGGTCAAACTAAAATTGATAATTTCTTCAATAAAATGTAATATTTTTGGAAATATGTAATTGTAATGTCTACATTGAAAAGTATTTGTAAGTATTTTGTTTATTTTAATCTCTTTCTTCAAATCTAAGCCGTCGGTAATACGGAATTTAACATATATAAAAGTAAAAACCATGATAAAGTGTAGAAAGATAAGAATATTTTGAAATTTTTAAAATTACCCCGACTTACGAACAAATTCGACTTACGAACAACCCGTTGTAACGGATCTAGTTCGTTCATACCTGTGTATGAAATTCAGTATTATTGCAATAAACGTATAGATAATGCAAGAATTGTTACAGGAATTACGAAATCTGGAAATAAATTGTCATTTCGCGGATATCGTTAATAAAATAAAAGATTAATTATATAAATAAATTATAATATAAAAGTTATTTATAATTATTGATAAAATTTACGCTTTGATGATTCATACTTAAGAAGTATTTAAAATCTTCTTCACTGTTTATTTTCCTTTAGTGTCACAATTGGCGTATTTACGATTTCTGGTGAAGTGACTCAACGTATTTACCGGTTATTTAATGATCTGGATGAGTTATACTTACTCTACCTAGAATGAGGTATTCAGGAAATTCATTACGAAACATTCATTTTTTTTAATAAGAAAATATCATTAAGCAAATCAATTATTAAACTGAGAATTTGATAAAATAAAGCAATACCTCGTATAGTGCGGCTTGGATTCACTATAATACGATTTGAAATTTTCAAAGCAAACTAAATTTTAATTAAACAAAAAAAAAATTTTTCGTTTTATCTCTTTATTTAGTTCCTCGATTAGTCCGGTTTCAAACAGTCCGGGATATATGCAAAAAACGTATTGCTCTATATTTAAAATTTAGATTTAATGAAAAAAAAATATAAAAGATTGATTTTAACTAATTAGTATATAAAAACCAGTGAGAATCAGATTTCGATAAATTAATTTAAATCTACATATATCAGAATAAGATTACGTTTGATTTCTAATTTGATTTAGAGCAGAAAAATGCAATAGTCATCAACTTTTTAAATATTCAATGATTTAATTACAAAATGAGACTTTCTTTTACTCAATACTAAGTTTCTATAGATTTATATCAGATTGTATATAGAATATGTAAAAAAAATGTCAAGGTTGGTATCGATGTAATCTGCTTCGAAGAAAACTGCTCCGAATGACGTTTTGTAAAGCGTCTCGAAAAGCGACGTCTTACAATTGGAGCGTTTTCCGTGAAAGCCATTAGAATATGAATAAGTTATTTAAACTTGAATCGATAAGAAACGAAATATGCTATGTGTGCACGTATTGTTGAAAAAAAAAATATTAATAAAAGATTTCAATATTGCATGGTTTTCAGGAAATCTTTTCAGTTGCTTCAGTTTCGCAGTATTATTAGTAAATTGGTCTTAAAAATAATCGAAAGTTTGCATTCTTCTGATATTTTTTTAAAATATGAATATCAACTATTTTGATCTGCAATACAAGATTTAAGTTAATTATTATTGAACCAAATTATTGTTTTTTTTTGTCGATATTTTTTTTCATTAACTGATTCAAGTGGTCATATATACTATGTATTAATTACTGTAATTATTCATAGATTGAAAAATTGAATTGTCGACCGTTTTACGTGTGCCCGCCGCTGTGAGGAGAAATATTTTGTTGTGCATTGTGAATTTAGACAATAATTATAAAAAATAAATGGCCCGACCGGCATTCTAGAATGTGCTCTTGCGTGCAAAAAGGTTGGGAACCCCTGACCAATTCTTTTATTAAATATTTAAGCTTAAAACATAAAATTGTCTGTTTTCAGGTTTTAAAATATATTTGATTCGTTCAATGAAAACGAAATTCTTCCATCGACAACATTGAGATATTTAGAAATGTATACAACGATTTTTCTATATGTTGCAACGAAAGAACTTAAGCTTTTGCGGACGGAGATTTCTCAAGTTTGCATTTTCAACGGATTTTTTTTTAAACTGTTGTGTATTATTATGTTGTGTCATATTTCGGTTACACACAGACTTTTAAAGTCAAAACTTTTATGTCGACGTCACAAAAAAGACTAGTAACGCCTCGATCGGAACTAAGATTCTATAAATGTTCCACCGCAGTGGCTTTGCATGCAATTTCACATAAGCAAAGTTTTCTGTGTAAAAGATAAGGCGGATATATCTGTCACTCGTCCGCAAAATGTAAATCTATTATTAAAAGAGAAATGAAATTTATTTTCTCTAATTTTTTGAACTAAAAATCGTAGTAGGTTATTATATAAAATTTAATTGCATATACCATATAAATTTATATGTATTTTAGGCTACTTTTTTATCTTGGAGTTGTTTGTTTTATTTGTTTATATGAAATATAATACAATTTTTTCAAACTGTTATGTTTTTTGGTCCAAATTGTTATGTCTCATGTATATAAGGTAAATATATGGGTATAATTTAACAATTTAATAAACATCTTGATTATAGAAAACAAAACTATCTTTTTTTTTTGATACAAATTTTTAAGATTCTTTTTTGAATATTGTTGTTTTTCATATATCAAAAATGTTGAATGTTATCAACATGTCATTTAGTAATATATACAAAAATATATATATTAAAGGACAGTGTGAAAATGGACTTCTGGCATCACAATGAGCTTGTGACATCTCGCATGTGCGGGATCGATCAATGTGAACGCGGGATTCAGCAGGGCGTATAATCAAAGAAAAGCCCTGCGTTTTCCCCATCCGTCCGAACATTGATTTCGATAACAGCCGCAGACTCTGCGGCTCTCATCCAAAACGAAATAAATTAATCCTGCAAAACTTAATTATCGTATGAATGGTCAAGATGATCACGATGATTATGATGAAACCTAACAGCAAAATACAGGTATGCGTCAATTTGATTGAAGAGGACGCAGCGCGAGTTTCGCACAGCACAGCAGGTAGATGATTTCGAGTGTTATTGATGCGACGCAACAAGTACAAAACCTCGTTTTGCGAGACAAGAAAACACGGCACAATTTGATTATTAAAATAAATGAAAATATATTTACTTATATTAATTCACACTTTTTTTTTGTTTAAATTATTTGTGTAATTCTACAATTTTAGCATAAAAATATTATCTACATGTTTATTTTTTAACAAAAAATGTTATGAACCAACATCTTTTTAATTAGTTTATACTTTTTGCTATTTTTATACTAGCTATAATAAATATTATTATTTCTTAATTTTTAAATATGAAAGTAGTGGATTTCTGCAATTGTTATATAAGAATATTTAAGAATTGCAAGTTATAATTATTCATTTACATTTATTTGTACTTATTATTTAGTAATTAACTTAATTATTATTATTTTTGATAGTCCGTAATTATTATGTAACAAAAAAAACATGTTCAATTAATTTTATTTGAATTTACTTATTTTTAATTGTACGTAATTGTAGTAATGAATGTATTAATTATAAATGTTTATTTTTAAACACATTCAAATGTTAAAATTTTATATGCTCAAATTGTTATGTAAATAAATGTTAAAAACAATGTATTGAATAATTGTAGTTTTGATTGATGTAATTTGAATTTCGTACGTCAAAAAGTCATTGTTTGTTTTGATTATTCAATTACAATTTACTTTATGCTTGTAATTATTTTATTGTTTTGAAATTGTTGTAATTAATGTAATTATTGGTGATTTTGATTTGTTTTTTGACGTATGTGAAGGTAAGTTTTGTAAAGATATTGTAATTGCAGTGTTATTTAAACTATTAATAAAAATGATTGTTTTTTGATGTGAATATTTTTTTTGTAATTGATGTATAATTTGGATGTAATAAAATGTTTGTTTTTTTTTGTGCGGGAGCGGACGGAGTGGAGTTATTAATTGAAGGAGGAAATAACTTAAAATCTATAAATAAGTTTTGTTTAAAAATAAACGCGCGCGTAAATATGCGGAAAGCGAATCGGATAATTCAACATATCGGAATAAGCGTTTCCACTATTGTAAACATTGCGACGATGTGTCGAATGTTTTGTGATGTGATTGGATGGATGGATATCACCAAAATTGCATCCCAGTTCGTTTAAAAGATTCCGCGTTTGAATATACGAATATTTGTTTACTCACCAGATGAAATCCTTGCAGTGAGAGCAGAAGGTTGGCTGCTTGAAGAATCTGGGCATGAACTTGTGATCCTTCACATTGTAGACGTTCTTCTTCTTGAGGGCACCTTTTCTGCCGCGCGACTTGAAGCCGGCTTTGAAATCTGCGGTGGTCTCGTCCATTTGCTCATCGTCGGCCATGGTGTCTTCTTCGGAATGAAACACTAGCTGGATTTGGTGATGGTCGTCGTCGCCGTGGAGTTGGAGCACTTCGGTGACGCGAACCAGGTGACCAGGCACTGACCTCCGCAAAAACGACGATCGAATGTCGACGCAGTAATGTACTCAGGTGCGCTCGTATCGATGATGATGATGATGTTGTTGATGAGGTGCGTGTGCCGTATGCCGTATTTCAGGAAGAGAGCGAAGTAACGATCTGGAATGTATTGAGCGCTCTTTCTTCTCCGATCTCATTTCACTGTAGGAACAACAGCAACAGCAAGTGTTAGCGGAGCCTTGGCGAAACGAATATAGCAGCGCGACACACATGCGCGGATCCCGTCGTCCGCTGGGCGTACCCTTATTATTTAAACTTTAAACTGCAAGGCGACTTTGGCTTCGGCCTCCGTGGATTCGGTGGAGGCGGTTTGAAGGCGGCTGATGGAGGTGGGAGGACGCCCTTCCGATGATCGCCTCTATTTCGATGCGAGCGGAGGACACTGCAGATGCACAATCGAAATGGGTGCATTCACTTTAATTCCGGAAGGTGGATGATGATGATTATCATGATTATGTCGATGACGTTGTTGTTGTCATTTGATGATGATTATGATGATGATGGTAGGTAGGCAAGTCGTAGGCGGTTGCGCGCAACTCCGCTGCCGCGGCACATCGATTTTACCGGTGCCCCGAACTCCAAGCTCCAACTCCAAACCAAAACTCGCACGTCGAGCAGCCAGAGAACGCGGAACAATATATAGATATTTTTGGGGTGGATGGTGCATGCATAAAGCTTTTCCCATCCGTTCTTCCTCTCTCTCTTCTTCCCTCTTCCACCACCACCATCAACCCTCACGAATATATCGACTAAGCAACAAGTGCACCACAATGGATTGACTCGAAAACAATGCAAACTAATTTTTGGAATCCTTCTTTTACTTCAGCCCTACTTGGACCCCTTTCGTATTTCCAATGAATCGGATATTATCAACTGTACATAAGTTGAAAATATACACTGGAATCGTATGTACATGGCAAAAAATTCATTCGAAAAATGTTATGGATATGTAAATTTTTGTTCTAATAATCGTATCCACATTGAATAAGTTAAAAATAAGTCTAAATACAATTTCGAAGAGAGTTTTCTCAAAATATTAACTTTTCCCCACATTATGAAAACTTCTAACTCACCTGACATATAATATTATATTATAAAAACTCTCTTGTACGGCTTTGGCCAGGAATAGATGATAGTCATTGTAAATAGGCATCAATTTTGTTTAAAATCTAAAATCAATTTAAATACAATTCATAATGTAAAGTTGTATTTACATTCAATGTAACATTATAAAAGACTACGTCTAAAAAAGCAGTGAATATAATGAATACAGCAATGACTCGCATAATCCGGTTTCGATCAGAACAAATTGAAAATATCAAAACAAACTAAATTTGATTAAGGAAAATTAAAATAAGTTTTAAAAAAATACTGTACAATTTTTTTATGCATAAATTTATATAGTCAAGTCTCTTTTTATGTGGTTTATTTTGTATATGTATCTAGTTCCTCGGTTAGTTTCAAACAGTGCAATATATTATCAGGACTATACGAGTTATTGCGACTACTTTTTACTTAAAAGATTTACTAAAATGAGTTGTGTCTGGAATAATATACTTCATAAAAGTTTTCAAATATTTCATTGTCAAAACTATTTACTCATTGCTAGCAGGTGGCAGATTATAAATAATAAATTTAATGAAATATCACATATATAAAAGTTTTTATATAGAAAATATACTTTGTAATTTATTTTATATTATAAAAAAATAAGTTTTTCTTATGATGTTTTGATCCTAAATGTGGATTTATTTATAAATAAGTTACTAATAATATTATTAAAACAAGACTATGGAACATTACTAGAAAGAATTTGCATTCGAAATGTACTAAGATTTTTGATATTAAATCTCTAATTTATAAATTTATGATTTTTTTCTATTTACAATTAAATAATTAATAAATGTGGTTTTGAAGTATTATTACTAAAAAATGTTGGTGTATTATGTAATGTGTAGTATTATTTTATGAAAATTAAAATATTGGATTTAGTGGAGTTTCTTTGTATTTCCATGAATCTAGAAATGATACATTATATTTCCCAAACTTGTTAATAGGAATGAAATAATTACTAAATAAATAATGATTTTTCTAAAAATTTTATTGATTTTATGTAATTACCCTACATAATTTCAGGATTTACGAAGTGTTTCGTTGCAAGTAAAGTGTGAGAAACCCGTGATCTCTAACTGGTGGCCCGCGGGCCGCATTCGACTCAGAAGCAATTTTACACCATTAGCCATTATAGTTATAAAGATGTAAACAGAGTTTATGTGCGCGATTGCTACTAAAGGTAAATTCAGATTGTGAATTCGGCCCGCATGGAATTTGAGCTTGAATCCTTTGATCTATTATATTATGTAATTCCTCTCAATTTTATAAATTTTATCATTTGCATTTTTTTTTAAATAATATGATTTGATCTTTAAATCTCAACATACACTATAAGAGCTTAAGATATAGCGAATAATGTACTTAAGGTTTATATGGATCAATTTATCATCATTAGATTTTCAACGTGTGAGTAGTAGAAGGTAACTTGAGTTGTATAACGTTATACAAATGCGAGATACGAGTGGAAGCAGCGCGAAAGATGATACGTTCTCAGAATGAATGGAAATGGGGTCATTATCATAGCAATTCATGAAGTGCGGAACAAAGTAGAGTCAAGGTAGGGCGACAGAGACTAAATGGTTTTGTATAACAGACAACATGTTTCTCCTCAATTCAAGTGGCACTGATGTAAATGTACAATCTAAATCTCGGAATTCATGGAGGGAAGATAATTTGCTCAATTCTAATTTGTTACTAAAACCCACTACAAATAAATAAAAAAAAACTATATTGTAAAGATAAAACTAACGCTTATATAAATTTTGGTCAAAGAAGTTTATAATTTGTATCAAATCAGGTTTTATATTTACAATGTAGTTTTTTTCTAATCGAATTGCGAATAAATTGGACAATATTTTTATATTTGGATAACAACTACATATTCGTATAATGAACAACTTGGTGACCGATTAACGTTTTTTTGGAAGCTAATGCTAGTAGTTAATTGAATCTTAAGCCGTTTCTTAAATCTATGACTTTTGGTGAATATTTGACTTTATTCATCAACATAGTCTACTTCGCGAGTGATACATTCATTCCAACGCTTCTCTAACATTTCGATATCTTTCTTGTAGAACGATTCATCTTTGTCCTCAAAATACGCTTCAGTTTCGGCAATCACTTCGTCATTTTAGCAAAATCTCTTTCATTTATTGTTTATATTTTCAAATAAAAATTACGCTATGAATTCAGATGAAATTGCGTGAGATTACGTGCACGTAAAGCTAATTTAAATTAACAAAATGTGTATCTTTTTTTTTACTGAAAAGAAAATGTTATTTACGTAAAGTTTTTTTTGTATGTAATCATAAATCATTATATCTGCATTGTAATTATATATGCGGTGATAACATTTATTACACTAAATACACGAAGATAATCAAAATCAATAATCAAAGCGCAATTATGAAATGGTTTTGATGTGAAACAGTTTGCAGAATTTTCATGTCAACGTTACGAATTTATCGATTTTGTCAACAATGTTTATCCCTTGTCGTTTCAGATAAATTATTAAAATAAAACAATATTGATTTACAATTTTTTTTTGCAGCTTTGAAGTTTTATTAAAAAGTCATAATAAAAATTGAAGCCCGAGATGGCAGGTTGTGAATGAACAATAAAAGTTAAAAAAAAAAAAAAATTGAATTCATATTTCGATGTATCAATATCACAACGTCAATGTTGACAGTTATGTCAGTAATTACTTTTAACAGATATCGTAGAAGATGAATTAATCAAATTTCCAACAATTTCCTTATGTCAATTTTGACAGCTAATTAAACGTCATTTTTATTGTTATCTGTAGTTTACAAAATAAATTTTGTAATATTGAAACAAACATAAATTAAAACAATTAAAATAATGACAATCATTAAAATGTTATCTGAGTTTCCAATTTCTCATTAAATTTTATTGTCTATATTTTGAAGAAATCTAATATAATAAAATTTCGTATTTCTCAATTTACTTACGTCAATTTTGAAAGCTAATTAAGTTTAACAAACGTCATTTTTGTTGTTTTCTGTAGTTTATTAAATACATTTTAGAATAATTAAATTCATGCTAATAATTAAATTTTTATCTCAGTTTTCAATTTCTCATTAAATATAATTTTCTTTTATTTTTTAATTAGTACAAAAAAAACGTAATATTGAATTTCCTTTGTTTCAAATTGCGGTACGTTCATTTTGTCAGCTAATTACTTAAAGTAGACGTCATTCTTTTTTTATCAGGAAATTCTTTAATTTCATCTTCATTTTTTTACCTTTGTTGCTAACAATCTTCTACTGAAAACCATTGAAAAACAAACAACGTAGAAGATGAATTAATCAAATTTCCAACAATTTCTTATGTCAATTTTGACAGCTAACTAAGTTAAACAAACGTCATTTTTGTTGTTTTCTGTAGTTTATAAAATAAATTTTGTAATATTAAATCAAACATAAATTACAACATTTAAAATAATGATAATCATTAAAATATTATCTGAGTTTCCAATTTCTCATTAAATTTTATTGTCTATATTTTGAAGAAATCTAATATAATAAAATTTCGTATTTCTCAATTTACTTACGTCAATTTTGACAGCTAATTAAGTTTAACAAACGTCATTTTTGTTGTTTCCTATAGTTTATTAAATACATTTTACAATAATTAAATTCATGCTAATAATTAAAATTTTATCTCAGTTTCCAATTTCTCATTAAATATAATTTTCTTTTATTTTTTTAATTAGTATAACAAAAACCTAATATTGAATTTCATTTGTCTCAAATTGCGATACGATCATTTTGACAGCTAATTACTTAAAGTAAACGTGATTATTTTGTTGTTAAGAGATTCATAAATTAACAATAATAATAATTAAATTTGTGCTAATCAATACAAATGCATTTATTGGCAAGCAATTTTTTCCACTGAAAAACCAGCAAATTTTTTGATTATCATATTTGACAATCGAAAAAGGAAACATCATATTATTTATACCCGAAAAAAATTATATAGACTTCCTTATTTATTATTTATATTAATTAATTATGTTTTCAAAGACAACTAAATTCCTAATTTTCTATTTCTATAAATTCTTCTTTCTTTCTTTCTTGAACCAATGCCTTTGATGTCATAGAAATAAACATGATGTTATTGCTTCAAACAATATTTTTGCTTTGGGTATTATCATTTTTTGAACCAGTTAGAAAAGTATTTTTGAAACTAATTCAATTTGTATGTTCTTTTTATGTTAAAGGATTTCGAACATACAGATAAAACTCCTTTCTACCTGAAAATGGTTATACCATTAAGATTACTTGATTGCTTAAGATTACTTATTTTAACTTAATGAATATATAATAATCTGTGGATATACAATGAGATTATATACGTATTTACATCAGTGGTTTCCAAACTTTATATTACTACGACTTACAAATATAATC